CATGTTCTCTTCATCAGAAGTGAACCACTAAGGTTAGCCAGCCTCTTGGCAAGGGGAATTAAGATCATCCTTTTCTTTTGCCATTTTTTTCAGTGTTAGGATCAAATTCAGGGGCTCAGCATATGCTAGGCAAGTGTGCTGCTACTGAGCCCTTCCACCAAACCTTAAGATCACCTTTTGAAAGAAAGAGTAACCATAAATTTGTGTAAAAAATTGCAAAGCAACTGCAATAGCTAAAACAAGGAAGTTCCTACCAAAAGCTTCAATAGGCTGAGATGTTGATGAGAGATGGCTGGCTATCTCTAGGTTAAGGAAGTTAGAAATATGGTGCTGTGGTAACATCGATAATTCAAGCGCCAGGGCTGGTTCACCTTCCCCTTAAGTGATAATTACTATACTATAAAAAGGCCAAGAAAGACCTAGTCATATTAGCCATTGAGAGAGGGTCATGCAAAAAAATGTATTCAATTCCATAGATAGATACAGATAGCTGTAGATGATATAGACAGACAGATGGGCAATATATAAAGACATTGTATTTTATTGAGGATATTCTCACTTTCCTATAAACATGACTCAGAGAGGTTACTCACTCAAGATCAGCTAATATATGTTGGAGCTAAGATTTCATTACAACTGTGTGACTAAACTCCCTACAATATACAGTTCCAGATCCATATGCTACACTGACATTCTTCAGTTTATGCTGCCTACCTGCAGTGACCATCAACCTGAGCCCTGCCCTCAGCTCCAAGGAGAACTTCATGTAAAATGAGTTCTCTGTCCCTTCCTTAGGAAACAGCTTCTGACAGCCCTTGCCCTTAGCAAAGGCATTAGACCAGATGGCTTAAAAGCAGAGACAAAAATGAAGATTCTTGAAGTAGTGATTTTTTTTTCTTTTTTGAGAGCATACTATCAAGACAAACCTGTCAGGAAATGCTAAATGGGATGCAGGATTTATAATCCTCCAGACAGTATCAAGTAGGTACTATCATTATCTCTCTTTACACAAAAGGAACCTGAGCTTCTGAGAGTTGAGGGCAATGACCATGGCCACAACTGTGTTTAAGTAGCAGAGGTTCAGTTTCATGTATGTCTGTCTGATTTCCTAGAGCTGGTTCTTTCTTCTATGGTATGCCAAATTAGATTAGTTCATAATCTGAGCATAGATGATTGTATAGTCTTAACTACATGTTAGTGTTTAAAGTAGGCTCTATATCACTGCATTAGACAAAAGAGGCTAGGTGAAAGACTTAGGCAAGTCTAGGACAAGCCAGGTACAGTGGTGCATGCCTATAATTACAGTGATTTGTGAAGCTGATGTGGTAGGATTGCAAATTCCAAGACAGCCTAGGAAATTCCGGGAGACTCAAAATTTAGAAAAATAAAAAAAAAGGAGTATGTAGCTCAGTAAAAGAGTTTTTGCCTACCATGTACAAATTTTGCATTCAAAATTTAATGAAGAAAAAAATGCTAGAACAATTTTTCTCAGCTAGAAACATTAGTTTTAGAAAGCATTACTCAAGGCTAAGAGGGGTGTTGTGAGGACTTTCCCCTGATCTGTGGCCAAAGTGACTCTGTCCTGCAGTGGGCTCCTGTTTAGCTGCCCAGTGGACCCCCTCCATGTGCTAAGGCTGTGCCAGCCTGCAGCACAAGGTCCTCCACCATGGCAGCCACACAGTGCTTCCTGAAGCCAGTAGGGTTTCCTATTAAAGATGGGCTGAAAGCAGAGTACATGCACAACTGTTCCCAAGTTGGTTTTTATTACTTTGCTATTTTAAGTAGTGCCTATTAACCAGTAGCCTGGCAGAGGATAAGTGGTGGCTTCTACTATACCTCACCAGCCATCCACTGCTCTGTAAGTAAGCCTCATTCAACTCATTTACTTGCTAAGTTGAACTTGTCCAAGTTGTTCTTTAGACTGTCTGTTCCCTCTTGATTTGGAAGCAATGTTTCTCTTATATCTGTCTGGGATATTCACACAAGGGGAAATATACTTCATGGGAGTTCGTGTGAAAATGTAAAATATATCTCCATCGTTAGTGATTCATTAACATTAAAGATTGTGAGAATTGATAGTGTGAAATAGGAAGAAAATGGCTAAAGGGGAAGTGGAAAGGGGAAGGGAAAGGAAATAAGGAAAAAGGAAAAAATGGAAACAAAGTCTCTGGGAGAGAAGCCAGGGAATTGTAAGAGGGTATAGTCATATTTACAAGTGAGAGAATATAAATTTTAATCCCTGGCTAATTCTCTGTCTTGATAGAAACAATGGTTCCATACGATGGAACCTTTGGCTTTTGGTTAAGGTGAAGTCGCATCTATTTCCCAATCTTATTACTCTATTTCACATCTATTCCCGATCTTAATGCTCTGGGTTTTCCTACCAAATTCCTAACCAGGGTAATTTTCTCCAATACTATGCTTTTCTCATCTCTTCTTACCTCGCTTTTCATTTTGTCCCTTGCCTTAGATAATATTTTGTCTCCTCCCCATCAAAAAGAAGTGGAGCCAGGCTGGGGATTCAGCTCAGTGGCACCATGCCTGCCTCAAAAGAGCAAGATCTTGAGTTTGATCCTGAAATCAAACTGAGAGAGAGAGAGAGAGAGAGAGAGAGAGAGAGAGAGAGAGAGAGATCATCATTCTCCTTCCCATTACTCCTCCACCACACTAAAGGAGCAGGGTAGGCTGCAGAGTACACTTCCTGTCAAACCGCACTGTCTTTAAGGAGTCATTGCCAGCAGAAGTGAGCCAAAGGCATAAGGGAAATGTGGCCTTGTAATCTAGAGGTTGAGAAGGTTCTTTAAACATTGCATTTTTTTTTTTAATATAAGCTGCTTCTCCAGCTTCCTCAAGCTGACAGTGTAACCTCCTACCCCCTCTCCTCTGCTCAGAGAAAGGGGAAGAGAAGTTACTGGAAAAACATCATGTACGTCTGAAAAAAAATATGTAGATGCTGGCCCCAAGAGGTCAAGGTCTGGTTTTGTTTGGAAGAAGAGAGCAGAGATTAGCCTTGAAGATAAAACAGTTTGAGAATTTCCTTGTCCATTGTCTCACCCCACCTAACTTCTTGGCTATAATAGCCCTTGTACAGAGAAATAGAGGTTTGAGGCAAGAAGAGGCCTTTCTATCTCCCTGGTTTTGAATAAATCCTTTTCTTTCCTCCAAAAATTTTTGCTTCTTTTGTTTTGGCGGAGCAACATATAGTATAGACCTTAGCCTTGGGTAACCATATCAGGACACAACACAAATGGTTGTCTGCCTGCAAGAATAGAAAGGGTAAGGAAAATAGAGAGATAAATGTGGGAAGAAACATGAAAATAAAAGCCAGATTGCAGTCAATCAAACCTTTTCTTTCCTTCAGCCTCCCTGACTCTTGGCTATATTGCAGTCTAGAAGGGTGAAGCAAGGAAAAACTCTAAGAGGAGAAAAACTCAAAATCAAATCACAGAGTGAATTTGTATAGCTATATGCTCAGTCCTATACATGTGTAACTATATTTATTTCTTTATGTACTATCCTTTAGTGGAAATAGTCTGAAGGCAGCCACTTGCATTCTATACTTAATGAATCTCATACCTTTTCCCTCCATAGGTAGAACCAACATCTTCTCTGCTAAAATTGTTCTTTCACCATTTGTTTTTAAGAGCAAGGAAGGGGAAATTTGCTTAATAACATGTGATGGATTTGACAGACCGATGTAAGACTCTTATATTCGATGAACAAAGAATTGCAAGTGTACATTCAATGTACACACAATGGTAAAAGAAAAAGCAGCTACAGTTATTGAAAACAAAAAAAGTGGACAATGTGCTCAAGCAGGTCCGTGCCAACAGAAACAAAAATGTGGCATGAATGCAAGAGTGCTGTCAGGATGACAGGAAAATAAAAGACACGCAGATAAACCAGGCTTGTGAAGTTTAAAGGATGTGCACCCCCGCCCAGGTGTCTCTGTTTGGATCTCTGGATAAGATTAACAGGAGTGATCGGGTGCCGAGTCATCTCAGAGGCACCATCACATGCATGTGTCCCCCCAGAGATCATTCTGACAACAGGAGTAATCGATCGGGTGCCGAGTCATCTCAGAGGCACCATCACATGCATGTGTCCCCCCAGAGATCATTCTGATTAAATTAAATACATGAGATGCACTCCGTATGTATGAATCTTTAATGAGGTTCGAGTGGGGAAAAGGTTATTGAGAGTTGGGCCACGAGATCTAACACACATTCGCTCTGGCCTGAAGCTTTAGAGGTTTTAAAAATCTTATTTGTTTATTTATTTATTTTAGAGCAATGGGAGAAGTGAACCAGGGGTGTCGCCCAAATTCAGGTGGTGTAAGGAGGAGCAGTGGTCTCCCAGCCCCAGTTGTGCTAGTACCTTCACTAGTGCTGAATAAGAGATCCTCTCATCTCATTCATTCTACTGAGCATCTAAAGTGAGCGCTACTCTGCGTTTTAGTCCTAATTTGGAAAAATGGCTCACTTTCTCTCCTCCGTTATCTTTTTCTCATTCTCCTGACTCTCCTTCTCTCCATTTCCCTATACCAGACTAGGTTCAACCTTTGTGCACTTGGCGAGGCATATGAGGGAAAGATCTAGAGAAAGAGATTGGAATGCAAATTAAAAAAAAAAAACAGGAAAGAAGAACAGAGGAAAGGGGGAGAGGAGAAGCAAAGCAAAGAGGTACGTGGTGAATATGGTAGGAAGATAAAAGGGTAGAAAAGAGGACCGGGAATTTAGCTCAGTGGTTCCGGTGCCTGCCTGGCAAATGCAAGGACCCGAGTTTGATAGCCAGTACAAAAAGAAAACAAAGACAAAAGAAAAGAAAAAGGGTAGAAAAGGGTTAGGAAAAAAAAGGGCTGTCCTTGCCCCAGCATGTATTTTGTTGTGATCTGCAGCCCCATGCCAGATATCAGCAGACACTCAGATCTAGGTCCTATATCCTATAATCATGGAAAGAAACCTGAACCACATGGTTTTCAAGAGGCAGTCGCAGATTTGCATACACAGCAGAGAAGTGCAATTGTGCAAAGCCTAGGAGACATGTAATTGCCATAGAAGCCCAAGGTGGGTACCAGGGAGAAGATGGGTAAAGGATGCATTAAATTATACCCAAAGGTAAACTCCGACCAGGGAACAGACTGATTATAAGGATCATGGTAGGAACAAGAGCAGCAGTCTTCTTACCCCTTTCCAAGGAAAGGGTTAGACAAGACAGGCAGAAAAACTAGGCATCTTTGCTCTATTCTGCCACCTCTGTTCCCAGGACCAAAACAAAAATTGCATGACCTCTAAGGCAAAGAAGAATTTTATTTTTGGAAGATAATGATAAAGAATAATCTGTCTGCTCTTCTCAAGACCTTCTCTGCAGGATACTTGAGAAGAGGAGAGCAACAAGAAAAAATGGAAATGGGAGAGCAAATGGAGGACAATAGGATGTGGAGAAGGAACAGGATAAATTGCCTCATAGTATAGCTGTTAACTGGAGCTTCATATCCTTACAGGTTATAAGAATGACCTTCTCCATAATGAAAGTTAGGTAACTGCAGTTAGGGGTGACTTGGCTTGGTTTAGACAACTTGCAATATGTCAAGTCGAAAGGGCGAGGGCTTTTGTGACATTTGGCCCCCTTGAGCTCACAGGCAACAGTGGGACTGTTACAGATGGCTTTGACCTCGCTTGGATCCTCATGGATGAATGTGTACTCGGTTATGCAACTGTGATTGTGCTGCTTCATCTTGGGTGCCATCATGGCATTACATTCTCTGGCTGTCAAGTCAAGCCTAAGATAGTCTCTGTAGCTCTGAAAAAGGGCCTCCGCTCTGAGACCCTGGCTCTCTCCGACCTCATCTTCACTGAAGATGGTCTCTTCTGGCCAGCCAGGCTGCACAATTGCTTTGTTGCTAAGCACCAGGGTTTCTGGGGTCTGAGTGCCCTCTCCCTCCTCAGTGGCCTCAGCCTTGTCCTGTGAGTCACTGGACCAAAACTCATTCAGTGGCTGATCACTGTCCTCCAGGACTGCTGCAGCCATTTGAAGCCCCAGCCCTAGGCCCAACCCCAGGCCCAGTAGCAGCAGAAGCATGATGAAAAAGATCTGGACCAGGGTCAGCTTCATATTGCCTGGAGAAGAAGGAAATAGAAGATCATGGTGTTGAGATTAAAAACTGGCTCCGGTAGAAATGGTGGTCACCCTAAATCATATTACAGTAGTCTCCAATCTCTTTGGCATTGGGGACCAGTTTCATGGAAGATAAGTTTTCCTTTTTTAGTTAATATATGTTTGCAATACATAGCAATTACTTTCCCCAGCACTAGTATCACCGCCTCAGATCATCAGGCATTAGATTCTCATGAAGAACACACAACCTGGATCCACTGAATGAGCAGTTTACATTAGGATTCTTGTTCCTATGAGAATTTAATGCTGCCACTGATCTGACAGGAGGTGGAGTTCAGGTGGCAATGTCAGCGATGAGAAGTGGGAACAAATACTGGTGAAGCTTTACTTGTTCATCTTCCTCTCACTTGCTGTGCAGCCCTGTTCCTAACTGGCCACAGACCAGTACCTGTGGTTGGCCCCAGGGCTAGGTCTCCTCTGGCTTCTGCCCATGACTCCACCCTGATAAGGAAGTGATCCTTTTCTTTTTTGTTTCTTTGTTTTGTTTTGGGTATCAGGGTTTCAACTCCGGTCTTTGCGCTTGCATTTGCAGCAGCACCACTGAGCTAAACTCCCAGCCCAGGTAGTGATCCTTTTCATTCCCCATTTATCCTGCTCCTTCCCACCATTACTGTGTAATAAGCTGTAGATCCTGAAGACTGGGGAGATGACCAGGAGAAATGCTCCTGAAATTGATTTATATACTAGGAATCAGTGAGGGAAGTTAAAACCAAACAATTCTGTTTTTTTTGGAGACAGGGTCTCACTACGTAGTTGAGACTGACCTGGAACTCACTATGTAGCCCAGGCTGGTCTTGAACTCACAGCGATCCTACTGCCTCAGCTTCCTGAGTGCTGGGATTACAGGTGTGTGCCACCATGCCCAGCAACCAATTCTTAAACAGAAATTATTTTGAAGTCTTCAAAGAGAATAGCAAAGAAGACAAATGAGTACAGAGAATTTCTTGTAGAATGCCTTACTCTAAGTAGAGAACTAGGACTATCATAGGAACCAGTCTCTATTTCTCAATCCAAACTTACTTTTGCTCATTACTATTATTCTCCATCCCCCAAAACATAAAAATGAATACAAAAGGTCCCACAGTCTATTCTCACTCCTAAGCTGAGGCGGAAAGAAATATGTTAAATTTCACATCTCAGACCCCTGCTAAAGCTACATCTTATTATTCCAAAGCCTTTCCCCTACTAAAGACCTTGCGATGACTTAGATCTAAAATATCCCCCCAAAGCCTCATGTTCAGAGGTGGGGCTTTTGGAAGGTGACTGGATCAAGGGGTGCTGTGCTCATCAGCGGATTAGTCCAGATGAAGACCTAATCATCTCATTGGTGATGAGTCCAGAGCTGACCGTACCGTTCAGAAGTGGAGCATAGTCAGAAGAGGCAGGGCTCTTGGGCCATGACCTGGAAGACCATTTTCTTGTCCTGGGCTTCTCTCTCCCTCTCTGCTTTGTTTTGCCATGATATTTCTGCCTCAGAGCCAGCCAGCCATGGAGTGAATCCATGGAAACAATGAGCCCCAAATAAACCTCCCTTCCTTTAAGTTGTCGTAGTCAGCTCATTTGTCCAGGGACAAAAGAATGACTAATACAGACCTCTTATTGCCAAGATATTTCTGCTGTTAGGTGTGTGTTCTTAGGGAATAAATGGACTAAGGATGAAACCAAAGAAAATCAAATAAGTGACCTGTGGGTTCCCTTACTGTTAAAGATCCTAGTGACCGTGGGGGTAATGAACATACATCTCTGTCCCGCTAGGCCAATCTCACCCCCTTATCAAACACAGGAAAGAAAAGCTACAGAGAATATTATTGATACAACTGATAAAAGTAGAATATAATCTGTGGACGAGGTAAAATCTTCTATCACTGTTTGATATCCTAAATTTTTAAATTGTAGCCTAATTAACAGAATATCCTTGCTCCTAGAAAATGCACACCAAAATATTATGGAGCACACTGCAGGCAGCTTACTGTCAATATAGAATATAGAATATAGGGCTGGGGATTTAGCTCATTGGTTCCAGTGCCTGCCTTGCAAGCACAAGGACCTGAGTTCAATCCTCGGTATCGAAAAAAAAAATTCAAAAAGAATATAGATACATATGTGTGTGAACAAGTGCATGCTCATAGGAAAGATGAAAATGACAAAATAAAATGGGGAAAAGAATTTTAAATAATATATATGGATAAGGAGCAGCCGGGATTTCCTTATTATTATGCAAACTTGTCCCCCATTGCAACTCTTCTAGAAAGTTAAGAATACCCTTCTCCCCCATTTTTAAGTTTAAAAGTAAGTAACCTGCCATGCCATTCCCTGGGAACCAACACCACGGTGACTTACCTGCACACCTACGTAACTTTGGAGATTCTTGGGTCCGCTTCCCTAAGTTCTTCCCTCCCAGGGTTTTGCTCTCTGTGAGTTCTGCCCTGGAGGCTGGTGGGCCTAAAAATGATCATCTCCTGGTGGCCTATGTTCTCTTAAACACAGTTTGACTTCCTAAAACCTCCTCCGCCTCTCTCTTCACCCACCTCGCACTGAATGCACATGCTAAGCCAATTTGCCTTTCTGCTCCCACAAACACTTTGAACTAATGGTTTTTGGGCAATGAAACAGATCCAGACATCCAAAACAGGAAATGTCTCCAGCCTAGGAAATTGCAGACAGTTTTATTTCATTAGTCAGTTGCTCCACTCTTGAATTACACCCACTGACTTGCATTTTATAACAGTCTGACTTTGCATATGAATTTCAAAAGTGGTCTTATGTTCTCTATATTTACTTAAATCCTTCTCTGTTATTTCTGAAATGTGAAGATTTTTGTCCTTTATTTGAATTACTTCTCTGAGATGGTTGTTTTGCTGAACTTTTCAACTGTATTATGACTTCCCTTAAAGATCTGGAATACTTGGGTTAATCATAAATTTTCACTCACCTACCCCTTCACCCAGCCCTCCACTCTCCACTGCCTCTTTCCATCTTCTGACCAATAACCGTACACCTGTAAGAACATCCAGATTTTGCAAATATGATTATTTGGCCTTAGAGAAGAGCTTATCCAAAACAGCACGATCACGATCAGTCCTTACAGCCTGGGTAAATAAAACCGGGAAAGTTATAATGTTGACATTAAAGTTTAATGCTTTAGCTAAACTTGACACCATGAGATAATATTTTTAAAAGCACTCTGGGGACTATTAAAGTACGGTGAAAAAAACTCTCTAGACATAAACAAGGCCTCTTTAGGAGGTTTTTCTTAGTCATTCAGGCAGAGTTTCCAAATAGTAGCAATTTCTGTGATTTACAAGATCTACTGGACTGACTTTTTGGGCACTGACTTTATAATTATTTACAATAATAACAGTTCACCAATGGCAACCACTTTTGGGGAGGCACTTACTGCATTCCACCTTCACAGTTTGCTTGTGCTGTCCCTCTTTGGTGTCCACTCAGCCCATTCACTAAGGTGAGATCTCTTTGCAACAAGAAGAAATCAACACTGCTGAGCTCTGCAGCAGACTAGGGTCAGTAGGACTATTATTTTCAGTTACAGGCAAGAAATCAGCACTGCTGAGCTCTGCAGCAGACTAGGGTCAGTAGGACTATTATTTTCAGTTACAGGCACCTCCCTGATTCTTTCTTATTGGGGTGTTCTGGTTATTACTGAAGATCATTTTGAACTAAACTGATGGAATATGAAGAAAGGCTCTAAGTCTGCAGTCTAAACATTAGCTTTTAGATTGAACACATTTTTATTTTTGATTTTTGCTTTTCTAGGGTACAGCTTTCTCATCTTTTAAATTTGGATAATAAAGCCAGGTGTGGTAGCTCATGCCTATAATTCCACCACTCAGGTGGAACCGACGCAAGAGGATTGCCATGAGTTCGAGGCCAGCCTGAGCTATAGTGAGTTCAAGCCCAGCCTGAAATATATAGTGAGACCCTGTCTTAAGAAACAAATAATAGTAACACCTCATAGTGCTGTCATGAATACCACACAAATGCTGCAAGCTAAGCGTGTTAGCTGTTGTTCTTGCTCTTGCCCAGCAATTACCAACACATGTTCCTTCCCTACCCAATCAACACTAGTCTCCTGATTAAAAATAATACCTACTAAGGACCACACTACCAACACTGCTCACTGCTGCTCCTAGAACAGTCAAACAATAGCCTAGAATCTCCAAGAAGGATTTAAGTCTCATATAGACTGACTCTTCATTTTACTTTTTTTAAGTGAGTGTAAGAGGTTAATATCTCATATACTACAGCGAGTAATGGCAGTTCTGATAATAGAGCTCCTGACTTCTAGTTAAGCAAAACATACAATAGATAGTTAGCTATAGAGATAGAACAGATATCCTGATTAGAAAACTGACAATCCATATAAGGCTTAGATTCTGAATGTCAATGCTACTTCTCATTGTAAATCAATGGCCAGAGATCACCAATGGGAAACAACTGAGATGAGCCCTTTGATTCCTGCCAGCTCATTCCTTGGAGTAAGAATCCAGGCTTCAGCAGAAAGAAACGAGAATCTAGGTGGAGACTGTCAGTCTCCCTGAGCTCAGGAAGAGGAACTGAGGTGCCAAGGAGGCCAAGGCAACCAGAGTTTTTAGGGCAGAGCACCAGAAGGGACAGAATTGGAGAGAGGACTTTAGAGATCTGGAGTGGTGACAATACCACGACACATCCCTCAAGGCAGCTGAAATAAAACACAATCATTATGCGAAATGCTGTTAAGGACACAGAGAAACTGCATCTCTCATATGGTACATTGCTTGTGAAAATGTAAAATGTTACAGCCACTCCAGAAACTAGTTTGGTGGGTTCTTACAGTACTAGATGTACACTATTTTGCTCTTATACAACCTAGCAATTGCACTACACAAGTGAAATAGCAATTTTATGCCTAATAGCTAAATTGGAAGCAGCCTAAAAGTCCCTCAATAGAAGTGTTAAATTGTAGTACCTGAGTACCCAAAAAATTTTATTTTGGGGTTTTTGGCTTTTTTTGTTGTTTTGCTTTGTTTAAATTTATTAGTACATGATTGCAGACCATAATGATCACATTCATTGTGGGAAATTGATACATGTACATAACACATGTCAATTCTTGTTTTTTCTTCCTTCCTCTCCACTTGTTAAAATTTTTTTGTCTTTTTTTTTGCAAGCATCAGATTCATTTATTTATTTTATAAGTTTTTATCGGGTTAATTATCATAAACACAGATTAACAACCAATCAAACAGGCCAAAACTATATAAAACACATAAGACAATAATACTAAATGAAGGTACACTTTTGATACATTGGTCTTGATGGATGCACCATAGAATTCTATTCAGCAATACAAAGGAATGAACTATTGATACATTCAGCAACTCAGATGGATCTCAAGGACAACATGCTGAGTGAAAAAAATAAAATAAAATGATTGTGTATTGTATGGCTGCATTTATGTAACTTAGAGAAAAGATTAGTGGTTACCAGTAGGAAGGAAGGTAGGGGTGAGGATATGCATGTGCTATAAAGAGATATCACAAAGGAGATCTTTGTGGTGATGGACTAGATCTGTATCTCTGTTAAATAATGACCACAAGAATCAACACATAATAAAATCACACAGATACACCTACACATATTATGCTAATTTCAACTTCCCATTTTCAAGTTTGCACTGTAGTTAGGTAAGCTGTAACTACTGGGATAAACTGGGGAAAGGTACACGGAAATCTGAGTACTAGCTTTGCAACCTCCTAGGAGTCTGTAATTATAAATCAGGCACACAAGCTTAAAAAACACATGGTTTCTCTTATATGAAAAACTCAAATTAGAAATAAAGGTACATAATAGGAAGTAGGGGAGGGGGATCAAGAGATGGAGGAAGAAGGGAGGGAGGAGAGGGAAAGAGGTTGGAAAAAGGAATTAAGATGTGTTATGTACATGTACCAACTCGCCACAAGGCTACTGGAAACATGTACTAATAATTAATTAATTAAGATGTAATTATCCCATGCATCCTTGAAAAGATAAAATAAAAAGTTTTAAGATTGTGTTATGACTCAATGGTACAGCACTTCTCTAGAAAGCATGAGGCTCTGAGTTCAATCCCCAGCACTGCAAAAATAAATGCATAAATTGAAAGACCCAGTGATAATTGAGAATAGTGGCTATAGGAATCTGCAGGACATACAGTCTGGAGCAGAGACACAAATTTGGGAGACATCAGCACACGGTTAGGTACATAAAGAGTAATGAGACTGGATGAGAGTGAGTCTCAAACGTGGGATTTTTTGTTGTTGTTGTTCTTGTTCTTTTACTCTGATTTTCTGGGTTTGGGGGAAATATTTTGTTTTGTTGCTTTGTTTGCAGTGATAACTAGTCAAATCCAGGTTCTCGTGATATTAGGCCAGCTCTCTACTACCAAGCTTTAACCTACCCTTCGTTTTTTTTGTTGGGGGGGTGTTGAACTCAGGACCTTGAGATTGTGAGGCAGGCACAGGTACCCCCGAGCTAAGCACCCCCCCTGCAGACTTTGTTTTTAAAACAGCAAAAATCAACAGCTTGTTGATAGTAAAGACCCAATAGAGAGGGAAACTGAAAATACAGGTGAGAAAGGAGAGACGTGGAGCAATGACTTTGAGCGCTCAGACTCTGAGTAGATTGTCTGGGTTAATATGCTTCAGTTTTTATGAAGAATCAACAAAGAGGAAGAAGCCTGTTTGCTGTACAAGGTTGGATCTGGTAACACTAGCGAGAACTGTTGGCTAAAGGAATCCTGTATGAGTAGAGGTCTTGCAACATTGTGCACACATGAGTTTCTCCCTCCTTGCACAGTTGTAGCTGTTCCTGTATGGTGTAGTTGTAGCCCCTCCTGTCTAGAAAAGTTGTGTAGCTGTAAGAATACTGCTCAACCTTGGGCAGAGGAGACATTGGAAGAGCAGAAGGAAATGCTGAACCATGTCTTTATCATAAGGAATCCAAACTCTGTGTGTCCCAAACAAGCTGCTGCTTTCTTTCCAGGATTTCTATAACCCACGTGACCAGCAGGTGCACAAAAACGGGGGGAGGGAGCATTTACTCAAAGACTGACAGTGTTTGGTGGTGTACGTTCTGAAACACAAACTCACTATGGAGTCCCAGCTGCCTGCAAACTTACTATCCTCTTGCCTCAGCTACCTGGGATAACAGGCACCACCATGCTTGGCCCTTGACATTATTTGAGGTGAACCAATATCTAAACATTGTTCTCCATTAGGATCCTAGAGCGGTCAACCGTGTGCAGAACATAATGTCAGTTTACCCTTACCACCAATGCAAAAGGCAATGACCTATTAAAGCCCCTCAGCAAAGGTTTACATAGGGAATGCTTCCTTACAACATCAGGTATTGAGGTCCTTCTCACAGTAACCATTCTTCAGGTTATGCTCTGCTCAAAACTAGGCAGTAAAGGAGGGAAACGATACCAAAACCTCACCTAACTGCAAGGACTGGCAAGGAGTTGACTTAAACCAAAGGAGGAGGCCTTTCTTTTAACTCATGCAGAGGTGTTATTTATGCTTTCTGGGACTCTAAATAGATGACTCTACATTTT